ACCTAAAACCAGGACTTAGGTGCCTAAACCCTAGTTAAAGACACCTAAGCCCCTTTGTAGATCTAGCCCAAAGCCTCCCTCCCACTCTGCTTTGCAACAGTGATAGTTTCATCCCCTCCCATCCCTTCACAAGGGCCATGTTTCTATCTTTACAACCAGGGGCTTCTCTCTCTCTCTCTAGCTGCTCATTCCCTCACTTCTGTGCCTCAATTCTGGCTAAAATTTGACAGCCACACACACCTTCCTCAGCTTGGCTTTTGTTACCGTCTTGGTGGCTCGCTGGCACATCTTGTCACTTCTCCTCCGACTCTGTTGCTTCACTTTAAAGTGTCGTTCTAGTCTACAGAGCAGCTAACAATGGCATTTTGGGTTCAGTGTTTTAAAGATTACTAATCAAATCCTCTCATTTTATATGCCAAGGGCACTGGGTGAGATCCTGATACTTGCACCAGCCCCTCTTTAGTAGGGGCTGTAAAGGAGCCCAACGTGCCCCCTTCCCCGCCCCCCTCAGTTCTGAGTGGGGAAAAATTCTCCTGGCCTAGGTACTGCAGAGCACAGCCTTTAGGCCGTCCTTCAATCACATTTGCTCAGGCCCCAGCACAGGGAATGAAGTGGTGGGATGGGTGCTTTGGCAGAGGGGCAATTTTGGGCAGCGCTGTGGCACATAAGGCAGCCCTGGGATGCAGCCAGAATGGGCGGGCTGTCTCGGTTATGTCAGTTCCATTATGGTCATCTGCCTCAGGACGGGGGACTCCAAGCTTCTAGGGTCCACAGCCCCGGGGTAGCACCACAACCCCACTTTCCAGCCTCCCTGACATAGAGCCAGAAGCCTGAAATCCCTGGGAGAGTCGATTAACTAGGACTCAGCTCCTAGCTCTGCAGCAGGGAGCCTGAACAACTTGTGGGCCCTCAGGGCTTCCAAGCTCCCTGCCATGTGGCTGGGAGCCTGGGGATCCTTTGACGGCCTCCAAGGGGCTGTGGCTCCAGGACAGAGCTGGAGACCCCAGAGTTTCCAGAATCTTGGGCCGGTTGCTCTGAAGCCTTAGACCCTGAGGGTATGTCTACACAGGGCTAAAACACCCATGATTGGAGCTGGTCAGCTCACTTAGGCCTACAGGGCTCGGGTTTGGGGCTGAAACGTAGCTGTATAGACATTCAGGCTCAAGCTGCAGCCTGAGCTATGGCACCCTGTGAGGGGGGAGGGTCTGAGAGCTCAGGCTCCAGCCTGAGCCAGAACATCTACACAGCAATTTTTTAGCTCTGCAGCCCAAGTCTGAGCCTTGTGAGGCCCTGCTGCAGGTCTCTTTGCCCTGTGTAGATGTGCCCTGAAGGCCTGGGAGCTGCTAATGGAAACTGACGTTCTTGTCAGTTTCACAACTGCTATGAAGAATGAGGGAGCAAGTTGCATTTTGTATCTGAACTGAAATCGTATCAGAATTCATGATTCAGGAGAAACTTCAAAATGCTGAGATTTCTCATGAACTGGAAATCCCAACTTTCAGCCAGCTCCAGTGTGGAATTTTGGAGCCATGGTGATGGTGAGGAAACTTCGGAGCCATCAGAAATCCTCAGATTTCCTCAACCTCTTGGGACTTTGCGCTGAGTCCAGCACAGAGACTTACAAAGAAGGGCAAGTATCATTATCCTCATCTTAAAGATAGAGAAACTGAATTGCTGAATTAGCAGGTGAACAGGAGCTGGGGTAGGAGGAGAGGTGAATAATAAATGAAGGACAGGAGAATGTAAGTAGGGAAGAGAGAGAAGCAAGGGAAAAACCTATTGGTGAAAAAGAGAATTCATCAAAAAGCTGATAGATCCTGAAAACAGTTAACAAGAAGCAACCCACAAAGGAAATAAAGTAAATGAACAGAGAGAATGACTGTGTGAACATCTACTGAAAGAACACAATTCAAAGATACCTAATGGACAGGTGAAGGCCCACTAGGTGAAGAAACCCTTCTTGTGGATAAACTGAAAAGAAGTAAAGCCACAGGAACATCGAATCTAAGAAGCACTACATGCCAAAGAGAAGCAAAGAACAGGACAGGTAGAGTGGAGCACGACTTACAGCCAAGTACAGGAAAAGTTGATTCTTCTCTGAAGTCACATAGTATATTGTTGAGTAATCTCTTCTGTTCTTTCAATAACAATGCATTTGGTATTAACTGCACAGAGTAAGGAAGAGTAGTATGTACAAGCTCACAACGGTTAATGTGTAGGTAACCTACAGTTTATTATTATCAGTAGTAAGTACTTAGTAATGTTCTATATTACTTATGTGTCCGGTACAATTTTGGGGTTTTCCCTTATAAAATTCTAAACATTTAAAAATTATTCCTTTTTTCTTGGTATGCCTCTGTTTCTCCTCACAGAGAACATAGCCTAGCCCAGTGCTACTCAAAGTGGTGGTCTGCGGACCAGTGCCGCTCTGCGAGCCATCGGCTGCCGGTCTGCACACACATTAGGAAAAAAAAATTGCCGGTCCCCCACATCAGATAGCTTGAGAAGCACTGGCCTAGCCTAGTCAGGTCACTGCATGTATACACTGGTGTACATTTTTATCCACATACTATGAGAGGGGATTACGACAGTTGAAGGAATAATGTTCTCAAACTCACAAAGGCAAAAATTTAGACATTAGGGGAAAAACTAACAGTAAAGGTCTGATGCAAATGTTCACATTTTGTTACAAAAGTACGAGCAAGCACAGACCCAAAGAGGAAACCTACTATTGATTAATACATGAATTAATGGACTATCTAGGATGGGGCACTTAAATTGCTGTCTCAGAACTACACCTGGTCTGCAGGGCTCTGAAATGCAGCCCATGCCTGCCCTTTCCCCGTAATTTCTTCATGGAGAAATAAAATTCATTTTGGGCAGGAACAGAAGTAATTTATAAAGACAAGGTCATCCATTCAGGTAACAAACAATACCACATGAATAGTGAGTAGCAAAAGACATTCAAAGGTAATAGTTATCAGGAATCCATTGGCAGAAAATAGTGTAATAAATTTAGCCCTGGTCTACCCTACAGAATTACTTCGGTATAACTACATCACTCAGGAGTGTGAATAATCCAAACCCCCAAGTGACATAGTTACACCAAACTACGTGCCGGTACAGACAGCTCTACGTCAGCAGGACAGCTTCTTGCACCAACATAGTTACCACCTCTCCCAGAGTTGCCACCTCTCCTGTCGGCTTACAGCATCTTCATTTAAGCACTCCAGCGATGCAGCTGCATCAGACCTGCCCTCGCTGTGCTGGCTGACACCTCTACAGGCACTCAGCTCCTAATGAGTGTGGCTTTGACTCAGATAGGAAGAACTCTGGAGTCTGGAAGTAACTCTGGGGAGGAAGGTCAAGGCAGGGGGTGTTTCCTGCCTGGAGGGGGCAAAGTCAGCAGTCGCAGCAGGAGGGGATGAGAGCAGTCTCTGTACTCTCTTCCAGTAATCAGTACACCTGCTGTTACTGCATTGTTCCAGGGACTCAGCCTGCTTGTGCTAATTCACATGAAGGAGACCAGCAGGTCACATAACAACAACAGTTTGTATGACCTACTCAAACAATTTTGAATACTGAGCAAATTTATAAAAATCCATGTCTGTTCACAACTAATTTGCACACAGATTGTTCTAATATACTTTTCTGCAAATAGTTTAGCCAATCAGGCATAATTCCACTGAAGTCAATGAAGTTACACAGGTGAAAACCCAATAGAAGTGCGAGAAGAATAAGGCCCTATAATACTAGCCTCTTAACCCACCCACCTACTGTTTGCAGAAACAGAGAAGCAAATAATTAAATCTTGGCAGAGCAAAAACTGTATTTGAGTTATTGTTCAACTACCAGTGTGTGTGTGGGGTGGGAGAAATCAGAGAAAGGACTCTCCCTACAGAATTTATGTGATGCCTCTCTCTGTGTAGGCTAGGCATTCAGTGGAAATTCATCTAGGAAATCTTGCTGCAAGCTACTGGGCCTTGGAGTCTAGCTACGTTTGCAAACAAGCAACACATAATGATGAACTGGAAAACTTGAAGTGACCTGTTTCACAAAATGGGCCAGGCATGTCACCTGAGTCTACAGTACTCCTGATTAGCCAGGGGTTTCAAGCGTCTCCCAAGACCTGCTGCATATTGAGGCTATGCTGTAGTGTGTCTGTACCTCTTTTAATCTTAGTTGTCTTAAATGTTTATGATAGCATCAACTGATGCATGCTCATGGGGAGGAGAAAAACCGGTCTCTGGTTTAAACATTAATAGAGTTAATTCTGTCCAATTATAGCATAAGACATTTCAGGAAAGGACAAAGCTCATTGTGGTCCTGTACTTTTGTGCCAAGTCACCCAGTGTAGCTGTAGATATTTTTCTTATCTAATACTAATAATTATGAGAATTTTCAAAAGGGAGCGTTTGTATTTCTATGAATATATTTCTATGAATAATGAGACCATCTACAGTTACATTAGGTCAGATAAAAATCAGAAGGGATGTAAACCCTCATGCTTCAGTGCATAAAACAACCTCTGATTGATGAGGTCAGGAAGTAACTTTCCCCATGGGCAAGTATTCTGTAATCAATCATCCATTATGGGCTTTCTTCCTGTGAAGCATCTGGTACCAGCCATTGCCAGAGAAAGCACTCTGAACTAGATCATCACCAAAGCTGGGTCTGATCCAGCCTGGCAATTCCTACGTCTACATTTCTATCTGTAGGCCAATTTATAACTCAAAATTCCAGTGGAGCAGATTTGTATGAATTTTTTTAAAACTTTATTTGCTCCTCAGCTGAGACACTGGGACTGAACCTGCTCACAATGAAGTCAATTGTGACATGAGGCAGATGAGGCCCTTTGTATGCCAGGTTCCAGCCTGGAGCAGTTTTTACAGATGATTTATAAATCACCTGTAGACAGAAGGGTTTGTACGAGAAATGCTAACAGACCATTAACGATAGCAGTGTGGCCGGTAAAATATATTATACTCCAGCACTCTCACCTTTTTGGCCGCTTTCTTCCGGAAATCTGTCATCTTCTGTAAGACGTTGTTCTTCAGTCTTATATACAGCTAAACAAATGAAATACAAACTTGCATGTATAAAAAAAATCCCAAGGCACATCAGCATAAAAATGTCAAAAACCTCAAATCAAGAATTATTTAATTTTCCATTCACAAAATGAAACCAATTATATGACTCAAGGAGCAAACTCATAATTCAGTAAAATACTATACTAATACTGAAGAAAAGACAAGATCCAAAAACAAAACTAGAACAACTACCCCTACGCCACCCACCTCAACCTCAAGAAGCTGAGTAAAAAAAATGGATCTTGCACCAACAAACTTAGGCTCTGTCAGACTAGTTGAAGTGAATTACAAAGCTGAGGACCATTCACTGAGAACAAGCCACTCCCTCCCCAGATAATTAAAATCTACAGACTGTTAACTCATGTGCACTAGCTGATCTCAACTGCCATGGTTCACAGAAAGAGGCATGGGCATCCATTTAGTTATGTACTTATCACTGTAATAGTTGAGTGCCTCATAAATATGGCTTTATCCTTGCAAGACCTCTCTGAGGTAGGACATAATTGTCTCCATTTCCCTGATGGGGAGCTGAGGACATCAGTGACTTTCAGACACAAGTTTGCCCCTGAAAGCAACCCACCCAGTTTGAATTCAATCAAACTTGACTGTTCAGTAAATAGAACTTTCTTTACAGCATCTTAATGCAGGCAACCGAGAACCACCAGGCTGCAACCACCTGGAACAGTTATGCCAGATGAATGCGAAGGTTGAGAAAAAGCTCTGTCTCCATTCCAGCCTCAACATGGCAGCTCAGAAGTTCTTAGTGATGCAATGGAACAGTGTGCAGTTTCTGTCCCTGATGCCCTAACACGTACTTCATATATTTTATCTGGTGTAGGTCACATGTACACCAAAATGATCTGAGCAGATGATGCAAACAAAGAGGATGCTTTGGAGACTCAGTACTAATGGGTGAGGACAAAAGTGATCATAATACCCAACTGGCACATTGCTAGAGTGAGCCACTAGATATGGAGTATTCTCCTGTAAAAAAACCTGAAACCTAGCAGGGTCCATCAACCTTTGTTGGGAACATGGATTGGCCCTGACCTCAAACTGCACATGGTCATGGTCTCATCCTAACAAACGACCAGCTTTCACTCCGCGGTCTCCAAACAGGATCCAAAGTGCCCAGCCCCATGTGCAGAGCCAAAATCTCATGACAGAGGTCTATGATTGACATGCCAACCATGAGATTCCAGCAAAGCCCACAAAAGTATTCATCAGTGTGGACAGCAAAGTCACCTAAGATAAGACCTTGTTAGTGGCTCTCTCAAATCAATGCCAAGACTGTGGCTTTCAGTATGGTGGGTACTGCAGCAGCCGACATCACACGAGATGCTGAGGTTGTTTGGGAATACAAGACCCGGGCCACTCCAGACCTGCTGATACACCAAGACCTCAATTCACTGCCACTCTCCTGACTCAACTCCAAGAAGCCCTTCTGGATCCATGCATCAACACTACAGGCCAATGGAAAGAACACAAGTTCTTGCTAGCTTGAATCATGAGCTGCTTGTGACATCTCAAAAAAAAAAAAAGACCTGATTGAAGATCCAACTAACAAAGTCCTGGAGTTCTGCCTTCCCCTGAGGCAGTGGACTGCACCCAACTACATTCAGAAAACACTCAGAAGGTGTGGGTATCTCCTCCACAAATGGAAAATCAAAGAATAACCAAATTGTGACTGTGGTGAGGTACAAACCATGCGATACATCAGAAAATGGCCCCGCTCACACGTACAGGGTGGCACAAAGGGGATCCATCTAGCTACTACAGAAGCATTAGAATGGCTTTTGTACCTCAAGATTCAATTATAATCCCAACCCACTGCTTTTCAAATGCAAAAGCAGCCTGGGCAATTCCAAGGCCAGAGCAGACAAGAACTCTCTTAGTTCAGAAGTCCAATGAGGAACCCTTTACATCACACCTATTCCCAAATTAACCCCCCCTCTCATGTTTTACCCCAAAACAACTCTCTCTTTTTCCTTCAAGTCAGGTAGGCCCACACCCACGAGTGACCCCCTCCCAACTTGAAACCTGATACAACAAAAACAGCGACACCTGTTCCTAACATTCATTCCTAGCAGGTACTGAACGCCTGTCTGGGGAACTGAGCTACCAAAGAGCCAGATGAATCATTCAACCAGGGCTTGTGAAGGGCATTTATCAGCCACAGATCACACATCAATAGCTTCAACCAAAGAGTAGGGTTCCTGCCAGCCAAAGTCCTGTCCTCCCAAGATGAAACGCTTTGATGGGCTCAACAGGGGAAATAAAAGTTCTCGAACTATAAGTCTATGTCTACGGAATCTCTTACCGTCACTCTCCATGCTCTTCATAACAGGAACACAAGAGCCCAAGGGCCCATAAACAAACCCCCAACAGTGCGTCAACACATTCTGTTCCCAGCAAGAACACTGTTGTGAAGCCTCAATTATGAAGAGCTGCACACAGTGTATAATGAGCCTATAAGGTTAGCGTAATGTTTACCTGAGTGATTTGTGGGTATCTGATGGAGAACGTTGGAAAGCAAACCTTAAGGGGAAAAAGAAAGAAAGAAAGAAAGCTGATGTGTTATTTGTTATTATTCTTCGCATTATTGTAGTGCCTAGAAGCCCTAGTCATGGAGCAGGACACCATTGTTTTCGGTGTTACAGAAACACAGAACAACAAGACAGTCCCTGCCCCAAAGAGCTCACAATCTAATGGTGGGGGGTTGGGGGGGTGCAGAGAATAGGCTGTAAATGAGACGGACACATACAGTAGGGTAAATTCTGGCTCAGTAAGTGCACACCAGACAAAATATAATTGACCGGAAGCAGCAGAGCAAATGATAACTGCCTTAATTCTGGCTCCAGCTAGCAAAGTAGAGACATCTCCAAGGAGCTTCCACTTTCGTTACGAGAAAGGGCCCAAAATGGGCAGTGACCAAGAGAGAGCATATGGTCCATAAGCAATAAATATCTACATATTTGTAGATCCATACATAGAGCTCCTGCTCCAAACACACACGGATCATTTGATTCCTCCTAAGAGTAAGCTGCATGGAGAGTGTCCCTGTTGAGAGGCAGAATGAGAACAGCAGTCTGTGCTGCTTTTGCAGCCAATGAGCTCAGCACTGGAGCTCCTCTGCATGCTGAAGTCCTGCTGAAGTCAATGAGCACTCTACACACAGAGCACCTCTAGGATCGGAGCTATGTCTGTGCTTGCTTCTGAGGGGCGCGGTGGGGGGTTAGGCATTTCTTTTCCAAGCCAGTATTCAGCCCATAGTATTAACTGAAAAGTAGTTCACAGAAGGGGGGGGGGGCGGGGAGGAGAGGGGATGTTGCTAATGTCAAAGTCCTTCCCTTCCCACTACAGACATGTAATATTTAACTGGCAGCAAAACCAGTATAGTCTCTCTGCACAGGACTCAGGGAGCCTCTACCAAAAGGGGGCATTCAACCCCCTGCATGTCAGGTTCCACACACGAACACCTGTAGGGACGATGGAAGTCAGAGGCATAACAACTAACTGGATCTACAGCAGGGGCGGGCAAACTTTTTAGCCCGAAGGCCACATTGGGGTGCAAAACTGTATGGAGGGCTAGGTTGGGAAGGCTGTGCCTCCCCAAACAACCTGGTCCCCACCCCCTATCTGCCCCCTCCCACTTCCCACCCCCTGACTGCCCCCCTCAGAACTCCTGACCCATCCAACCCCCCCTGCTCCTTGTCCCCTGACCACCCCCCCGGATCCCACCCCCTATTCAACTCCCGCTCCCTATCCCCTGACTGCTCTCCGGCCCCTATCCACCCCCCAAACCGCCCGACAGGCCCCCCGGGACTCCCACACCCTATCCAACCCCCCCCCGCCCCGTTCCCCAACCCCTGACCGCCCCAGAACCTCCACCCCATCCAACTGCTCCCTGCCCCCTGACTGCCCCCCAGGACCCTCTACCCAACCCCCCCACTGCCACGCACGTGCGCGCCACCCCCTTACCATGCCGCTCAGAGCAGCAGGAGCTCACAGCCCTGCTGCCCGGGTGGCAGCATGGCTGCAGGGAGGGGGGATAGTGGGGGAGGGCCGGGGGCTAGCCTCCCTGGCCAGGAGCTGAGGGGCTGGGCAGGATGGTCCCGCGGGCTGTAGTTTGCCCACCTCTGATCTACAGGCTGACTCCCCAGACACGCATGCAGATAGGACACAGAGTGGCCACAGATTCTGGTAAAGCAGCAGCTCCAGAAGAACTGCACCTACTCACACACCTCTCTGTCAGGGTATGCCTGTTGTGGGATGTGTACAGAGCCCAGGATCCAGTCCTAAGGAATTTAAAGTAAATTTGTTCTCAAGTCCTCCAGCCCTATAGAGATTATATAAGCTGGGCTTATTGATTACATAACTAAAATGCATTTTAATGCAGGTAAGCATATGTTCATCCTACTGAAACTTAGAGTGCAGCAAAATCACACAGCATATGCAAACAAATGAAGTGCTACATACCTCTTCTCCATAGAAACAAGAGTGCTCCCATGAATAGAAGGAGAAGAATAATAACAACAAAAATTGCTATTAAACCATTTCTACCTCTTGAAAGAACGTTGGGACCTTAAAGAAAAAAAAAAGAACAAATTGCTAATAGAAGACATTTCAATGTGCTGTAAACAACCTCATTCAAGTCAAAAGTCTATAGAGAAAGAGTGTTTAAAAGGCACATACAAATGTAAAACTTTTTTAAAAAAGGAATAATTTGAAAACTTTATTGGGCCAAATTCAGTTACCGGTGTCACCCCCACTAGCTCCAGTGGAATTACATCAGGGATGACTTTGGCCCAATGATCATAGAATATCAGGGTTGGAAGGGACCTCAGGAGGTCATCTAGTCCAACCCCCTGCTCAAAGCAGGACCAATCTCCCATTTTTGTCCCAGATCTCTAAATGGCCCCCTCAAGGGTTGAACTCACAACCCTGGGTTTAGCAGGCCAATGCTCAAACCACTGAGCTATCCCTCCCCAACATGATGGTATGTTACATTGTGCTTAAGATATTTTAATAGCTTATCTTTAGAAAGTTAACAAAAGTTTCTATTTTTTAATGTAGGAATTGCCATGCCAGATCACAGTGCACTGTCCAGCCTGCTCTCTTTACCAATAGCTTGTTCCTGATACTTCAGAGAAAGGGGCAAAAAAACAGCATGCTGGACAGCCATGGAATAACCTGCCCAGAGCAGAAGTTTCTTCCTAACTCCTGTCAGTTAGTAATTGGCTTATGTCCCTAAAGCAGGAGTGGTTATATTCTATATACATGTTTTATTCTATGAAATAGAACTGTAGGTATTCTTTTTATTCCTATAAATGTCTAAACCTGGCCTCAGGCCTAGTCAACACCCCTGAGAGATGTAGTTAAGCTGCCCTTAGCCCCAGTGTAAACACCGCTAGGCCAATAGAAGAATTCTCCCATTGACCGAGCAACCACCTCTGGAGGGGATGCGTTTACTACAGCAACGGGACAACAGCATAGCCGCAGCACCATACCTGTGCCTCTGTAGACAAACCCCATGTGACATTCTGTGGCCCTGAGTTTCACAAGTTAATTAAAACACAGAATTTGCCAATGCAGCGACGAGAGAAAATATTTCTGTCCCCAATTTTCTAAAACACCACTGCGAATCCAGATCAGGTCAGTAGTGATTGAAATCATTAGCCTCTGATGATTGCTTGGCAGGTTATGTGAAATGATTTGATAGACTCAGTCCAGTTTTTACAGGACAGGTTCCACCACCATAATTGACATTGATAAAGCCCCTTATTGACAGGTTCAGCAGAGAGGCCAAGGTTTACTCTGTCCACGGAGACTGAACTCACTCTTCTCCCTTAGTAGTTCGTTCCAAGTAGCAGCTGACAGTTTACACTACTGCTATCCCTGCATTGTATGTTCTGTGCAATGGGATAACTATCAATCTAGAACCTTTCACCAGCTCTAAAGTCACTTTTAACACCATACAGACTCTGCTATAGTGACTTTTGCATTTTGTTCCCTTTTATGCTCTATGCATAATTTCCTGAGACATCAAGAGGAACACTGCAGTCCAAATGAACATCTCATTTCCCAGCTCAGTCCCTGGTCCCCTCTCACTGTTACAAAGACCTTTTTACGCACATACTTACTCTCCGAGAAGCACGCACTCAGAGAGATTGAGTCGTTGATTTTTGTTTTGGAGATTTCTCTGATGCAGAAAACTTTCTCTGAAGGGTTTGCGTTTTCTTTAAGTTCGAGAACAGAATTATTAGCATGAATAATTTTTATGTCATCCCGATACCAACTGTAGTGCACATCCTTTGAGAAATGTATCGCACACGATATTCTAATCTGACCATTAGTGACATTGCAATTTAATACCGATGGTGGAGGAGGATCTGGATGAAAAAAAAAAATCTACATTAGTTTGACTTCACATTGTTTTGCATTTCAAGAGCGCTTTTTCTAGCTGTTTGTGGGTGTAAAGTTTAAAACACAGTCCAGCTGTATAGGGGATATTTGGTTCAGTTGCCAAGCAGCAATAACAATACTTACAGTTCTGTAACACACACAACAAACTTAAGTGTTTAGACTATATTGGGGGCCCAGCTCTTTTAACAGGACAAAAGCTTTCAAGGTAGCAGGTTCAAGTGCAGATGTCGCTATTTTTTACTTCACAATAGGACCAATCCTACGAGTGTTTCCATTCTGTGGAAAGTGCAGTCTCCTGTACTGTGCAGCATTCCCAATTATTTCCATAGGAATTCTTTTGTAGGGAGGCCTCCACTCTTTAAAGGCCTACGGTGAGACTCTGCTTCTTTGCCCTATGGTGCTGCTTTCCCTTATGAAAAGGTACGACAACATTCTATAGTAATGGTAATACAGTATCGGTCCAAGACATCTTACAATAGAAAGTACTATTATAATAAATTATTACCTCTACTGGCCTCAATTCTGTAAGTTGATCCTTGGAAGTGGACCCCTGCATCTGCACAGCAGACACTGAAGTCAATGAGCTTTGCAAAGCTACAGAGAACCACCTGCACGGAACTTGTAGGATATGGGCCTCCAGGCCCAAAGCATGCTAAGTATTTTACTAACAAATAATGAGAAAAGGCCTCTGCTGACTCTGCAGTTTTGGGATGCTAATGATCGAATACTATTTTTATAAGCATTTTTTTTTTAAATCCTGGAGTAGCACCATCAGAACAAAACACAAAATGTGGCACCCACCATTTTAAGCATGTAGTTGAGAACGGCAGGTACAAAAGTGTGTGGGTGCTGTTCTGCCGCTCTCTGGTGACTGGGTCCACAAAAAGAATAAGGGATCGACTGCTACTAGCATCTAGAAAAGCTTCTCTTTATTTCAAGCAGATTTGATGAACCAAGCTCTTCAGGTGCATGTGTGTATGATTTATTTATTAAATCAGGCCAATTTCTGTCTCAGTCACATAACTGGAAATTCAGAGCAATTCCAGTCACTTCTACTTAGTTGCTACAGATTTTCACCTGTGTCTCTGAGATACAAACTGGCTTAATTTGTCTCTTGCCCACAGCATAAGGGTTCACTACAACAGCAAAGGTGTGATCACCACCAATCTAAGTCACAACGGTGGCACTGAAAAAAGCAGGTTGTGTATGTGAGTGCAAATACCCACTAGTAGATGCCTCAGGGAAGTGATCTTGAATACAGTCAGAGCCAAAATCACTCAGGACTTTAAAAATAACCCACCAAAAAATAAACAAACAAACAAACAAACCACCAATGGCCGTTCCATCACTTTCCAGACAGCTACCATAAAGAAAGCAGGGTGGAGCACTTTATGACCAGTGGTGCTCAAAACACTGCCTGTTGCAAGGATGTCCTAGCTGCAGACTGCACAAATGGAGTAAGTGAGAAATCAGCTATCACAGAAACAGATTTCTTGGCAAGTTGAACACAAGAGGAAGTGCTTTCACTTTTGGTCACACCTTTCCCCAGCACCAGTGACAGGGTGTCTCAGTCAAGACTGCCTGATTATGAAACTTGACACACCTGATACAAAGGTCGTAAGTAACTTTTCTGGGCCCAGCAGCCAGCAACTTGAAACAGATTATTTTTTACAACAAAAATTATGACAGAGCTATAGATAAGAGACAGATGGGAAAACGAGAAATGTAAAGCTTATGGGTCAAATTCAGAGATGCTGTAGAAAGTGGTACAAGTTACACACCAGGAAATGGGTGAAAGGAGGGCTAAAAGGGTGTATGTAATTTACGAGCTTGTGGAAGGAGTGGACATGACATAAGTTAAAGTGTGTGGTGAGGGAGAGGGGTTACATTTACATACACTTTCTGATACCCTCCTGTTAGTTGTTTTTCCTGCTGTATTTGTCTTCCAGCCCGAGTCTGCAAGGTATACTACTTTAGACTCCCCCAGGCTCAGTTACACTCTATATCTTACACCACATAGCCTCTGAATTTGTCCCACTGAGCCCTGGTCTACACTGGGGGGGGGATCAATCTAAGTTACGCAACTTCAGCTATGTGAACAAAGTAGCTGAAGTCGAGGTACTTAGATCGACTTAACGGTGGTGTCTCCACCATGGTGAGTCGACTGCTGCCGCTCCCCTGTCAACTCTGCCTGTGCCTCTCGCGGCGCTGGAGTACAGGAGTCGATGGGAGAGCGCTTGGGGATTGATTTATCACATCTAGACTAGACGGGTAGTGTAGACATACCCTGAATCTTCTTATGTTATCCCCTGTGTTAACATAGGAGTACCTCTCCCTCTGAATCAGAAGCAACTGCCATGGCTACATAAGCCAGCAGGGTTCATGAGGGCTGCTTTTCGGTTGGTCCTTAATCTTACTTAACTGTATCACAAATCTAGATCGCATGCCCTGATTCTCATGGGTGACTTTAATTTTCCTGATATCTGCTGGGAGAGCAATACAGCGGTGCATAGACAATCCAGGAAGTTTTTGGAAAGCGTAGGGGACAATTTCCTGGCGCAAGTGCTAGAGGAGCCAACTAGGGGGGGCGCTTTTCTTGACCTGCTGCTCACAAACCGGGTAGAATTAGTGGGGGAAGCAAAAGTGGATGGGAATCTGGGAGGCAGTGACCATGAGTTGGTTGAGTTCAGGATCCTGACGCAGGGAAGAAAGGTAAGCAGCAGGATACGGACCCTGGACTTCAGGAAAGCAGACTTCGACTCCCTCAGGGAACGGATGGCCAGGATCCCCTGGGGGACTAACTTGAAGGGGAAAGGAGTCCAGGAGAGCTGGCTGTATTTCAAGGAATCCCTGTTGAGGTTACAGGGACAAACCATCCTGATGAGTCGAAAGAATAGTAAATATGGCAGGCGACCAGCTTGGCTTAACGGTGAAATCCTAGCGGATCTTAAACATAAAAAAGAAGCTTACAAGAAGTGTAAGGTTGGACATATGACCAGGGAAGAGTATAAAAATATTGCTCGGGCATGTAGGAATGAAATCAGGAGGGCCAAATCTCACCTGGAGCTGCAGCTAGCGAGAGATGTTAAGAGTAACAAGAAGGGTTTCTTCAGGTATGTTGGCAACAAGAAGAAAGCCAAGGAAAGTGTGGGCCCCTTACTGAATGAGGGAGGCAACCTAGTGACAGAGGATGTGGAAAAAGCTAATGTACTCAATGCTTTTTTTGCCTCTGTCTTCACTAACAAGGTCAGCGCCCAGGCTGCTGCGCTGGGCATCACAAAATGGGGAAGAGATGGCCAGCCCTCTGTGGAGATAGAGGTGGTTAGGGACTATTTAGAAAAGCTGGACGTGCACAAGTCCATGGGGCTGGACGAGTTGCATCCGAGAGTGCTGAAGGAATTGGCGGCTGTGATTGCAGAGCCATTGGCCATTATCTTTGAAAACTCGTGGCGAACCGGGGAAGTCCCGGATGACTGGAAAAAGGCTAATGTAGTGCCAATCTTTAAAAAAGGGAAGAAGGAGGATCCTGGGAACTACAGGCCAGTCAGCCTCACCTCAGTCCCTGGAAAAATCACGGAGCAGGTCCTCAAAGAATCAATCCTGAAGCACTTGCATGAGAGGAAGGAGATCAGGAACAGCCAGCATGGATTCACCAAGGGAAGGTCATGCCTGACTAATCTAATCGCCTTTTATGATGAGATTACTCGTTCTGTGGATGAAGGGAAAGCAGTGGATGTATTGTTTCTTGACTTTAGCAAAGCTTTTGACGCGGTCCCCCACAGTATTCTTGTCAGCAAGTTAAGGAAGTATGGGCTGGATGAATGCACTATAAGGTGGGTAGAAAGCTGGCTAGATTGTCGGGCTCAACGGGTAGTGATCAATGGCTCCATGTCTAGTTGGCAGCCGGTATCAAGTGGAGTGCCCCAAGGGTCGGTCCTGGGGCCGGTTTTGTTCAATATCTTCATAAATGATCTGGAGGATGGTGTGGATTGCACTCTCAGCAAATTTGCGGATGATACTAAACTGGGAGGAGTGGTAGATACGCTGGAGGGGAGGGATAGGATACAGAAGGACCTAGACAAATTGGAGGATTGGGCCAAAAGAAATCTGATGAGGTTCAATAAGGATAAGTGCAGGGTCCTGCACTTAGGATGGAGGAACCCAATGCACAGCTACAGACTAGGGACCGAATGGCTAGGCAGCAGTTCTGCGGAAAAGGACCTAGGGGTGACAGTGGACGAGAAGCTGGATATGAGTCAGCAGTGTGCCCTTGTTGCCAAGAAGGCCAATGGCATTTTGGGATGTATAAGTAGGGGCATAGCGAGCAGATCGAGGGACGTGATCGTTCCCCTCTATTCGACATTGGTGAGGCCTCATCTGGAGTACTGTGTCCAGTTTTGGGCCCCACACTTCAAGAAGGATGTGGATAAATTGGAGAGAGTCCAGCGAAGGGCAACAAAAATGATTAGGGGTCTAGAACACATGACTTATGAGGAGAGGCTGAGGGAGCTGGGATTGTTTAGCCTGCAGAAGAGAAGAATGAGGGGGGATTTGATAGCTGCTTTCAACTACCTGAAAGGGGGTTCCAAAGAGGATGGCTCTAGACTGTTCTCAATGGTAGCAGATGACAGAACGAGGAGTAATGGTCTCAAGTTGCAGTGGGGGAGGTTTAGATTGGATATTAGGAAAAACTTTTTCACTAAGAGGGTGGTGAAACACTGGAATGCGTTACCTAGGGAGGTGGTAGAATCTCCTTCCTTAGAGGTTTTTAAGGTCAGGCTTGACAGAGCCCTGGCTGGGATGATTTAACTGGGAATTGGTCCTGCTTCGAGCAGGGGGGTTGGACTAGATGACCTTCAGGGGTCCCTTCCAACCCTGATATTCTATGATTCTATGAAATACCAGTGAAATATTAGTTTTTGTTCAGAAAATGCCATGCCTTGTATATGGCCCACGCTTACTAGCT